GACACGAGAGAAAACGGCTCGATTACTTAGTAACCAACAAAGTACATAATACATTTAAACTTTACGCCTACGGCGTCTATAAGCACTCTCTTGATCAATGACGTTTGTCCGCACATTAGAGTACCGTTTAAATGATCAAAGCGGGATGGGTTAATTACGGTTAAACGTTTTTCGCGTTTGAATTCGGTTCGCCAACAGCCTCGAGGTATTACCGGCAACCAAAGTACTATCCTCGTGTATGTAACTATGCGTCGCGTTATTATTAATACTTAAGTCAAAGCTTTTAGCGCGTTTCGCCCACCCACCCATATCAAGTTGTTGCTCCAGGCTTTTCAACGTTTCCCGTCAAATGCACCGTACCGTAAAGACTTCAGGTAGCGTTTATCCGATTAATTTTAAAAACTATGGTATGTTAGGTGAAGACGGGGCCACACGTGCGATTCGCCGTTTCATAATGTATCAATTATTATTATAATTCTTATATTTTTATACCGGTATTGAATTTCGGCGAAAATTACATTAATTACACAATCTGTAAATAATTATTTTTACAATAAGTGTAAAGGATAGGCTAATTTAAGAAGGCAGGAGTCTATATTGATTTCTGACTCAAAATATGGGTTAAATTTTCAAAAAACGAAAAGAAAATTCTTTGATAGACACTGTTTTTACACTTGAAAAAAAATACTTGCATTTCCAACTATAAATGTTTAAAAAATAATAATTTTGTTCATATAGCGTTAGGCCTTCAAGGCTTATTGTAATACCGAATACGTGATGATGATAATTATGAAATCACATTTAGTAAACACAACTTCAATTTCTTATCATTCGAGGACTGCAAATCTATGACGGCCTCAATTGCGGAAGTGTCCTATCCACGTGTCTATTATCTTTAGCGTCGTTTTATTACATTTTTTTACTTATAACTTCTCTTCGGGGAAGCCCTTCTCTTTGGATACTAGATCACATTGATTTTCAGTTCTTTTCAAATCCATGACCAAGAGAATTCTGTTAAATTTGACATTTTTAGACGTGTTGTCTAAATTATTTTTAGTGTTATTTATTCATTATGACACCGTAATGCATCTATACGTAAATACTTTTGAAAAGCAGAATTCGATAGAACCGTCTATACGTTTTCAGTATCCAACGTTTCGCGCGATACTGTATAATATAAAACGTGTATTTTTTAGTGTTTTATTTGATTTTTGCGGATCTATTAAAAGCGTGCGGCGCAAAGTGGTCGTGTGTCATCATTACTCGGAGCGACCTTTTCGAAACTATAATATCTGTAACAACTGTGAATAAGTGTGTAAGTCTATTTCAACGATTTTAAACTGACCAGCTGTCATTAAATCAGCCATATAATCAGAAACTCGCATCTCTCTCAAGGTTTTCTTGTTGGTCCAACGAGTTAGACATTCATTCAAGGTGTGCTAGACGCTTCGGACTACATCCTAGTGTACTTAGTCAAATTTGACCAAAATTCTACTCACACCACTTATTCACAGTTGTTACAGAATTATAATGTATTTGTTATGTTTATTATTATATTTTAATCGACTGCAAGAGACGTTTAAATTTTAATATGTTGTTTGCACAACAGCCATGTGTAGAGTAACACTCGGTTGGTCCTGACTGGTCGCTAAACATGCCGGGCCGCAGATGTTCGATATTATCTCTGGAAAGCGAACAAACAAACCGAGGCGAGGCGAGGGTTTCTTTAAGAAAAAAAAATTGTCTTCCGGAGTTTGGAAGTTTGTCAATGAATAATAATAATATCGAAAAACAATGCATTTTCATCTCTCGGCGTTTGGGTAAAATATTAAAAAGACAATGTTATATATTATCATTGACCGACGGTTATGTTTAAATGGAATATACTATGTGATTGTGTATTTTGGCTTGTTGTTAAACATGCTCGGTGGTCCAATCGGCGGTATTCTCTGTCGTTTTGTTGTTTACAAACCCGCCAAGTGATAATATAATATAAAAGTGTCTTCCTCTGGAAAATGTTAATAATTAATGTGTAAAACCGGCACCGACGCCATTTTAACCGGGAAAACAATGTGGATACCCGTGTACAAAACACAATCGTACTTAAACACATATAGGTATGTATACCTATGACTGTTTTGTAACATCTGGCCGAATTCAACATTATTGCGGACAACGCGGCCATTATAATGGGACTTGTGCAATAATAATAATATTGTAAATTTATGTCAGTTTTTAGTTTAGCGCGTAGTGCCTACCCGAACTGCCGTTAATCAGATTTTGTTCCGGTACAGTAATAAAAGTACAGAAAAAGTAATAATTGTTTACAAAATTGCTTCGAAGCGCAGGTGGAAAGATATTGTTAAGCCCCTTTTTTTTGCAACCGAGATAACTTACTTTTTAATCACCAGTTCATGTAGCAAGCCTATGGATATCATAAATCGTTTAGCGAAAGCAAAAGTATTTTACTACTAATGAAAAGTTAACCCCGTTCCCATCAAAATCTAAAAAAACACCCTAATAATTAAGATATCGCTACCACGCCCATTTTTAAGGAGTAATATATAGGCAATTTTTTACAAAATCTTAACTTGAACTATAGTTATTGATACAGTAATGACAATTCTGTAACGATTGCCATTATTTTTTTGTCAGACTATATCACAGTCATTTCTATAGGATAAATTACAATTTTTCCCATCAAAATTGCTTTGCGCGGGACAAGTATGCGTGAGGCCATTAACCAAATTTTACCAGTGTATAGAGAAGAACTTTATCTATGTAGTAGAGTTTTTATTTTTTTGATATCTATGCTTAATACTTTTATAAAGTGAAAAAAGGGAAAGGGGTTTGAATTTTGGCGAATGAATAAAAACTCGCTACGTCATAGATAAAGTTTTTTTCTATCCATCGTAAACATTTTATACCGTTACTGTAAATACCGTCCTCACATACTCGTCCCCCGCAAAACCGTTTTTCGCTGATAAATTACTGGTGTGTAGGGTCTTATTAACAACTTACTAAAAATGTACGAATTAGTAGGGGTTTTCCATAATTGGTTATTTCGGTTTAAATTTTCATATTGTATTTACAAAATTTTGAAATATAGGTTCTTGTTTTGGTTAAAGTTAGAACTTTTTAATATCGATAGTTAAGTAAAAAATAGTGGGTTTTTAAAATATTAAATCTAAGTTCCCAAAGGTTTTTTTTAATTAAGTTTAATCCTTGCAGTCTTATTTTTTTTTATATCTACAGGCATAACCCAATTGATCTACAGTTAAAAACCAAACAAATATCCTTATTAGTCTTTTTCCCCAGAGGGAGTGAACGTTTTTTTTTTTATTTCGCTTTTTTATGTAGTTAAAAGCCGGAATTGATTGCAGAACGTAGATGATATGGATATCCTAATGGATACCACGATTATAAATACATTTATTGTCTATATTTATAGATAATTACTCCCAAATTACCGGTTCCAGGGTCAAACATGCTACGTTTTAGTAACATATATATATATATATATATATATATATATATATGTATTATAGTCGATTAATAGGCTAACGATCGCCTAATTCTCATCGAAGCAGATTTATCGATTTTAGTTTAGAACAATTTCCTGAATTTGCCGTCCCCAACGTGCTGGCTTTTTATTATTGTTGATATTAATTTTAGGTTTTTATCAAATAATAATAGTAAGTGAGAATTCAATGGTATTCGCCCGACCCACTTAGTAATAATCTAGAATTTCGTTTCGTTTTATTTTCAAAAGCTCTTATTGAATAATAATACTGTGTTTTTCTTATAATTTGTACAAACTACTTTATTAGATCAAAAATAATAAGCTATCTACACACAATTATTGAGGGCTAGGTTTGAATGGATGTAATAGTTTTGGCTATAACTCAAGGCTTACAAAAAAATCGCCTACACCCAACTCCTTAATACATAACGTTTTCTAGAGAGGAAGTGCCTGTCCATATTTTTAGATGTAAAACTAGATATTTCTTTAACTATCCTATTTTATATTTTGTAGTTGTTGTAATAAAGTTTTAAAATGTTGGATACATTTTGAAAACGTTATTATCCACCACACCATTTGTCGTAGGTTGTTGTTGATATCCCTAATACCATCATTTGTATTATTTTTTTTAACTACTGAATTTTGTGAATTTCGTTTGACACGGATCCGGTAATAGTGTAAAAAACAAAAATACTTAGCTACAAAGACTCCTCGTTTTTGTACTGTATTTAGGTAGGTACAATTAGGTTTTATTTTTAAATTGAGGTTTTGACAAAATGTGCCTATACTCAACCCGTTGACAAATGGAAAATGTTGATTGGTGTGACGTCCTAATAATAATAATATAATGTTTTCGTATAGTACGTGTGTTATTGAGGTCGAATAAAGGTGACAAAAAACACTCAAAGCTTTTCCCAGTGTCGTATATCGACTAGAGAGCAGTTGTCGGTATTTAAATAATATTTATTAAATAGGAAGTTAAAGGCCTTTTTTTTTGTTGGAAATAGGCCCGCGCACGGGCGCCGCAGCCGCCAACACCTGCTCCGGCGGCGTCTATACTTCTTATGGCGCGTGCGCTATTTTTTAAACGCGGCGGTGGCGCTTGGGACCGGGCCGAGCACGCGGGCAGCTACGGCGTGCCTACTAGGAGCTGGGCTGTATAACTACTGCTAATAACGACGGGCGGCGGCTGTGGGCCCGCTCGCTTAATTCGGCGGCCCACCGGAGTATGCGTGCGCGATGCCGGTTGCCGGCGAATGCCGCCGCGGACCCCGCAGGAACGCCGCGCGACCGGAGCAGGCACAGAAGAGCGGCAGCACGGAGAGCGAGCGAGCGCCGCCGAGCAGTCAGTGTGTGTGCGCGCGGCGGTGTGTGCCAGGCAGCTGCGTGCCGTTCGTCGTGTGCTTGTATGTATGTGAGCTGTGAGTTTGCGTGTGTGTGTGTGTGTGTGTGTCTGTCTATGAGTGCGTGCGCGCGCGTGCCCGTCGCGTCAGTGGTGTGGTGTCGGTCGTGTGTCGCGTCGTCGTCTCGCCGCGATCGCTCCGAGCTCGCCGGCCGCCCTTCTTGTCCCGTTCTTTAACGATCACGCGTCTCACGCACCTATATTTTTATATATATATATATATATAATAAAAATTTCTCTAGTTAATCGGCCCGACAATAATTAATCGGCAATTCCGTTACAAACAACGCCGTTTCATCGGATTATTTTATTTTTTTTTTCATCGCCGGTCGCTTATCGTTTTTACCGACGCCAACGCACACGTGCCGCTCCGACGGGTTCTCCCCGCCCGGTCAGCGCGGTAAATAATATAAATAATAATAACAACAACATTTAAGGATTGAGTTATTATATAATATTTATTGTGCCGGCCGGTAGTATCCGCGCGTAGCCATTAAACGGTCGGCGCCCGTCATCTTCTATGCATTACAACCGGTGTGCCATCGCAAGCCACTAGTCGGCCGCCGCTAAAACCGCTTCCGCTTACGCCGTCGTCGACCGGCCGCCTTCGCTTACACGCTTGGCCGCGCCGCCGAGTGATGCAACAACAATGCGGCTTTTGCGCTGCGGTGTCCGACCTGTTCAGGAGGATCATGTGTTTTAGCGGCAGCAGGAGAGGTAGCGACCAATCGTACTACCACGAACTAGACAACGACGATCCCCAGACCGCTCTGGTGAGTACTGATAACCATCTGCAAGCTCGTTAATTAATAAGCTAAACTCATAGGGTGGTCACTAAAGGGTGCAAGTCCAAACGTTACGACTTCTCGGGGTTAAATGTTGAATGGTTTCAGAAAAACGTCTATTCGTCGGTTAACGATACTAGAAAAATACATCCAAACATCATAAGCCGGCTTATAACCAGGGTTCACTCCCGATGACCATTTTGGATGAATTCATTAAAAACGAATGGTGTAGATATCAAAATCATCAAGAGTGAACGCAGACCGGTTTATCAAATTAAATCATATACAACTGGTTCACTTCGGATGATCTCAGATAGTCTCTTCCCCCTATCTTTTTCGTCATTCAAGTGACTTTTCGGTATTGCGGTAACCGACAATTTTTGGCATTTCAAGTTTTGCTTTCAGTTTTCGAAATTACCAATTATAGAGTAATAAAAACCAAAAGGGTTACAAGTTACTATTTAAAAATAACAGTTTTTGATCATACTTGATTCAATGATACCGCTTTCTACTTAAACTTGTTTTACATTTTTTCTTAAATTTTCTACGCAAATATTGAAAACAAAAAACAAATGAACACCGAATTTCTTCGTCTTGACCTTATCATACAAAGGAAAAACAATTTTGTACTTTAATCGTATCCTTTTGATTCTCACTATTTCAATTGTTCGGCAACTTCGCGATGCTTTTTAGGTATTGATGAACGGCCAGGGTAACTCACTTATTGAAAAGAAAGTATAAAAGGATAAGTGGACTTGATTTACTAATCTTTATAGCATATTTTGCCCATCTTCAGCGGCAGAGTGAAGGAGAAAAGAAAAACAAGTCATTGTTTTTGTTGTTGTATTACTTTGACCAGGAACGAAAGAGAAAAAAATGATAATCAAAAATAATATTATGGTTGTTGATTGCGCGCGATAATGGTCTTCTAAACTATTGTTTGGTCGCCAAGAAAATATCAGCTTGTGTGTGCGTGTGCTTAACTGGGATAGTTTTTATATTATTATTATTATCACTGTGCGCGGTAGTCGAATTGGATTTTCGTGCGATAGACCTAACCGGAGTCGTTAAACTTTATTGCAGCCAAAGGCTGATGCTGTAGGGAGGGTATATATATATATACGTGTATAGGGTTCGACGTCATTCATACGCCAGTCTTCTGAGGGTAGGTAGAGAGAAAGTTGGGGGGGGGGAAGGGAGACTTTTGTGGCCGGATAAAACCGTTCGACGAAACGGCGTTTTTATGATTATTGTCATTACCGATTGTCGAGGCCAGTCGGAGCGGGACGGTTATTATATATTTTGGAAACAAACGGATTCATTATTTTTTTCCAAAACGGAAACGCTTTTTCGGTTTTTAACGGCTTAAGTACACACGGCATGCGGTAAAAAACGGCCGTGGTCGTTACACTTGCACTCGGTCGTCGTAGAGAGCCGCCACCGAGCACATTATGTATTATGTCCTCTATTGTCAACCGTCGCCACAGCGTAACCACCATACAAGCCGGGACAATGACCTCCGGTTCGTTTTTGCCGCATACGATAATAATAATATAATACTATAATATAGCGAATAGGCACGATTCTGTGTTTTTATTGGTTTTACGATTATACAAATGCATATCGGCTACTTGTACCCAAATGTCGAAAAAAAATAGTGCCGAGAGTGACCGTAGTCGACCGAGAGTGGTGCATACAGGGTTCCAGTATACTCGAATTGGCGATTTCTAGTTGTGTCAAATAGATGACCCCCCCCCCAATATTACATTAACATTTTGCAAAAAACATCCGCTGATACTTATACCGTTGTTCGGGGTTGTAAAAAATGATTATAATTAGTGATTTTTTTTTTATACCGACCACGTCTCGTGCGACGTTGCGGTTATCACCGTCCGGACTAGGAGAAAGCGATAATGACTCTCGCCGCCAAAATAATAAACAACCGGTGGTGCCCCCCCCCCCTCCAAGCCAAGAGACACGTGCCTACTTTGAAATCGCACGAGTTGATCGTTCTGATAATAATACACTGTCCTCATCAAAACTCAAACGACTTGGTCAGCTTTTTCAGCTGTTGGTCCATATTACTGATGCTAGAGATTTGGTAGCTCTGATATCGTTTGTTTGCCGGTTTGTTTTGCTAAACATTTAAAGCTCCAAATAATTAGTAATTAATTTCTGTTTATCAACATTAATGTTGGCAAAAATAAGAAAAAATACCGACAGTATCTACATGACGTAAAAAAACGATAGCCAAATATTTAGTCGGACCGTCTAAATTGTTAGGTGGCCTACTAAAAATTTAGTTAAATGAACTGTTTTTTATTAAATAATAACGTTAACTATAAAATCTAGTTATCACCGTGTTCAACAAGCTTTTTCCTGCAATAGCTAAACAGCTACAAGTATAACCTAACTTTATCGGTTAAGTACAAATAATGAAGCTGTCTTGTAGTTAAGTATTGATGTCGTTTTAAATTTGGTTAATAAAATATCAAACCATCATAATTAAATATATGTAAAATAATTAACAATATGAATGTATGCATATTTTTACAAAAGGATATTCGTTAATGTAAAACAATAGGTAAATTGATAAAATAAAATTATACCTTTGTGCACTACAAAATATAAAACATTCATTTGTAAAATTAATTTTAAATTTTGTAAAATCCCATTACTTATATTGTATTTAAAATAACGATAAAATAATAAAGAGATTTTTAGTTAAAATAAACTTACATATCACAAACAACGTGAAATCAACCAAAGAACTTATTAATCCGTTTGTCAAGTTGTCATTGTTTTATCTCTAAAACAATACATTTTTTATTATAAATATATTGTTAAAACTTTTGATACTATTTCATTATTCTGATTGGATTTACTTGGCAATCTGGTGGTTTAGTTAGTGTATCAAGTAGATGAAATTATTAGTAAAAACCAAATTCATATCTAATTTATGACTCAATTTATTGCTTGTATGTACGCTAATCTTACTATTCTTTTAAGTGATAGTATGGTTCTTTATGGACAGGATATTATTTTTTCTGTAAAACCGTTTTGGTTAAGTTAGATTAGTATTGCAATGTCTGAATATTTTTACCACACTAGTTGGCAATTGTGAGGCGAATATCGTTTTTTTTATCTTGTCCATTAAATACGGGGTTTATGTAAAATGTATATAAGTCGAGCGGCTGTGTGAATTTTCATACTTGACAATTACAATAATGAATATAATGTTGAAAAAAATCACCTCCCTTGTGTGGTTTTTGTTTCGCATCAAAACTTTCTTTTACTCTCGAATAGCCGTCACGCCAAATGTCCTATAAGCCTTATTTGTCCACATGTAGAAACTTATTCACTGTCGTGGGGTTGTACGGTGATAATAACATGCATATCTAGGTTAGTTAATCAATATAAGTTGTTGTTTGAGTACGCCTAAGACAAGGGGGGGGCGGGGAAATCCTCTCTGTCGGGTTTACTCATTGACGGCTTATATTACATGTACTGTTAAATTATAGTGGCCTCTGTAATTAGATAGGTTTTCAAAGTGCATCGTTAAACTAATTTATGCAACCGACCGTCTATTTATAATATATATATATATGTATATTATATTATATACGTATGACGAGAGCCTTTTTGCCCTCAATCGAGTTCGAGAGCACTCGAAGCCACTATCGAGTTTGGCATAGTGTACGCTCGCACATTAATTAAAATGCTCGTTCATTATATTATAATAACAACAGAGTGTATACCTGTACCGGTCGTTCTAATATATTTTTATGAAATAATATTTCTATTTATCTTTAAAGGAAAACCATTGGTAACTTGGGTATTACTAGGTACTATTGGGGTAACTTGCGTTAACTTTCATTTACTTGTTCTGTAGGTGTAAAGAAAGCCTTAAAAAAATTACTAACCGCATTGATACTTGTTTTCTGAATAAAAACTTCAATACAGCAATATTAGGACGTTAACTTATATTTATGATACAACTTTTTGTACCTTGAGTTTAAAAGACTCAATGTTAATTTTCGACAAAAACTAGGTTGATCACTAAACGAGTAAATTCGACCGTAGCTATGCCAATTTTGAAAATCTAACCACGTAATATCCGTCATCTCTTTTTCTAATATTTTGATTATTATGTAACTAAAATCAATTTTATTTGAATTTTTATTAGTTGATATAAAAGTAAACAAACATGTTTTAATTATTCAACATTTTATGCATACTTAATTAGTTTAAAGAACTTTAAAAGTCGATAGCGGATTAATGAATAATAATAATAAATTATTATTGTTTAACTACTTATTATTGATGACAGTAATATATATATGAGTATTTCGGTATACTTCTATTTTTTTTTTTTTTATCGAAAGTTCTTTTTATACCTACTGACTACGAATTTACAAGTTAAGTAAAACCGCTTAGTTTAGAAGTTATGGACGTTAAAAGATACAGCATATTGCTGAATGGTATTACTGATAACACACATGCCCGAAACTAAAAGTTATGACGGTTACTGCCAACTTTGCCCAGTTCGTGGTAGTTCTTTTTACAACTAATTGGTTATAATAATATGTTGGCAGTAATATGGGTGAATTTTTAACATCTATAACTTCTAAAGTAATTAAGTATATTATTAAATGTAAGACAGGTAGGTGATGTCCAATAATATTGTTTCTAAATTTCTAACTTTATTCTTTAATCCTGATCACCAGGTTTGTAACTATTTTTTAACTTTACATGTACACATGTACAAGAAAACCATTTTAATTTCTAAAATTGGTTTAAAACATTGATTTTAAATTATCCGCTGAAGTCCGAACTGATCTCGACTACTTACCCATTTCTAGTGTAAACACCGTATTGCGTCGCCACCTGACCCATCAAAGAGTCTTCACGTTCAGTGAACTTTTGAATCCTACCCATCCAGCACCCACCCTCTAAGCGTGCGTTCAGGTATCGACGTTAAAACAATG